GTCCAGGAACTAAGGCCCACGGGAGGTCATGCTTGAATGAATGAATGAATGAATGAATGAACGAACGAACGAACAAATGAAGAGATCCTTGCAGGTGTCACAGAAGGCAGGGAAGTGACCTGCAAAGAGGTGGAAATAAAAACTTGGATGCCCGATGTAGCTGACCAGGCTGGATCAAACTTCCAGAGTCTGATCCAGGCAGATTATTGCCTGAGTATTTAAGGACAGTACAATTTGGAAAGGTTTTCTGGTATAACAAACCGAGGTGAGTGAGGAGGCATAATTACATTGAAACTCAATGTGGGGTACATGTCATTTCTTCCAAGAAGATGGGTTCTGAAGATAGGCTCCCTATATTAATATAAGGACATAGGGAAGCATCTGGCCTGGACTTGGTCATATAGATTGCTCAGAGGTCATATGGCTACTAGCCACCTCAGCTTCTGGTTGTGGAAGCTTGGAGAGTCCCTGGCTGTACACGTAATGTAAGGGTCATTTAAATTACTAGCCACCTCTGGTCCTGGTTGTAGGGGCTTGATGTGGTGTGGCCTAACAGATAACAGTTCACCAGGCAGTTAATCACCTCCAATTCCCAGCCTTCTGGAAAATAGACCGTTCCCTTTGAAAGGACAACCCTGGAGATCTGTGAGAGCAATGAATAAATAAATGAATAAACAAAGGTGTTTAGGGCCAACAGAGGATCATGTCTAAGGAAAGGAACAATGGCCACGATCTGTGGTAAAGCCTGAGATGGGCAGTGGTGGCGCATGCCTTTAATCCCAGCATTCGGGAGGCAGAGGAAGGCGGATCTCTGTGAGATCGAGATCTACTAGAGCTAGTTCCAGGACAGCCAGGGTTGTTTCACAGAGAAACCCTGTCTCAAAAAAAACCAAAAAAAAAATTAAAATAAAAAAAACCTGACATGCTAAAGCCCCACAAAACAACCAAAAACTGAGTATCATTTCTTCCCAAACTTGCTTATTACTAAAGATATTTGCCACAATGTAACAAAAATGCATTGTGTATTCTTCCTTCCAGTGTTCAGTTAATGTTTTCTCTTTGCTCTTCTCTTGCTATTTAGCCCAGGCTGGCCTTGAACTCAAGACCTCCTGCCTCAGCCTCCCAGCTGCTGGGATGTTAAGCCATGCAACAGCACACTCATCTGCGTTTCTTCTATGTTGTTGCAGGTTCTCTTTTCTATGCACTGCTTGTGAATTACTTCCTATAACATTTGTCTGTTTCCAATGCTGTGCACCATTCATATAGATACACAGTTATTTATAGAACTTGGTGTAGGTTGTAGATACTTGATGCTTCAGGATTCTTTCTCCCAGAGATAAAATCGATTGAAGTCAAGTTCGGTATACAATGTGTAGAAGGTTCAGTAAGTAAACCATTAGCCATGGAGCATGAGGCCCTAGGTTAGCCCTACCACAGGGGGATTGTGTGAATGGAGCTGTGTAAAAGATCTTTCTCATCCATCAGAAAGCATATGCTTCTAAGAGAGATCCCTTTCTCATCCATCAGAAAGCGTGTGCTTCTAAGATAGATTCCTTTCTCATCCATTGGAAAGCACGCACTTCTAAGATAGATCCCTTTCTCATCCATCGGAAAGTGTGCACATCTAAGATACTTTTCTCATCCATTCGGAAAGCATGTACTTCTAGGCTTTCTGCAAATACACCTGCGTAGGTTGGGACCCTGTTCTGACCAGAGTGGTTTAATCCCATAAAACATCAACTCTCCAAGGTACACAATAATATTGTGAACTCGGGCATCCAAAAAAGGTAACGGCATACATCACTGTAGGCCAGGCCGGCCTGGTGCTCATAGAAATTTTTCTGCTTCGGTCTCCCCAGTGCTAGAAATATAGGATGTAAGCCACCATTCCTAACCAAAACATTATTTTTTTTAACTTAGATTTATTTATTTTTATTTTACGTGTATGTGTATTTTGCCTGCATGTAGGTATATGTGTGCACTACATATGTGCCTGAGTCCAGAAGATTCTCAGGAACTGGAGTTATGAATAGTTGTGAGCCACCATATGGGTATTGGGAGCTAAGCCTGGGCCCTCTTAACTGATCAACTCCAAAACATCCTTTTTAATAAAAAAGGATGCTATGCAGTGTGTATTTTATGAAACATTTATGACAAAATGCAAGCCTATTTAAAGATCTGCTGCTGAGCTTGGTAATCATGCCTGTACTCCCAACACTGGCGGAATTGAATCGGAGGACTGCCAAGGCCTATCTAATAAATCAGTGCTTCTTCTATGTAAGACTCTCAAAGAATGACGAGGTCCGGGACCAGCCCGGACCATAAATTATTTCTCGAGCCAGTGTGGAGGTATAGGATTAATTGAGGCACAACTCACATGACTTTATTGGGAGATTCTCAGTGATCCCTCATGAAATACTGAGTTCACATCACGAAAATTCCCTCGCATTTATTCTCCAAACAGCTTTTATACCAAAACATAAACTGAGGGAGAATTCATTAGCATTCTGTGTCCTAGGTAGCCGGGAGAATGACTGTGGTCACATGCACACCTTTCTATTCCCATTTTGTCACGCCTTCCTATCTGTGCCTGCTCTGTCATGTAGACTGAATTAACATATCTTTCCCAGGCAACCTCGGGAATTCCAATAGAAGGAGCAGAGCGACGTAGCACATCCTTACCATTTGTTTAGGATGGCTTCAGTGTGTCTCAAAAGGCTAGGTGACCACCTCCTGTGTGGCAGGTGCAAATTGTGCCTTGAAGGTTGCTTAGAATTCTGACCGCCATATAATGTAGAAATATGGGCCTGTATTATACAACCCTACAACAACAACAACAAAAAAAAAAAACAGTCCAATAAGGGTGCTGGAAAGATAGCTCAGAGGTTAAGAGCACTGGCTGCTCTCCAGAGAACGTGGGTTCAGTTCCCAGCACCCACTTAGTGGCTCACAACTATTCATAACTGCACTTCTAGGAGATCCAATACCCTCACATTTGGTGCACATACATGAAGGCAAAACACTCATATGAAATAAATCTAAAAGTTAAAAAGCAGTTCAGGTTTATTTTTGGTACAAAACAAGTTTGAAATGAACCTGGGCTACATGAAATCCTATTACATCTCAAAAGATTTTTGTTGTTGTTACTCTTGTTTCGTTCCTGTCTGCGAGGTTGAGGATAGCTCCCCCAGCCTTGCACTCTGCTACTGAGCTACACACCGTGTAGTTTGTTGATCTGGTGCTCACCATGTAGCCAAGACCGATATCACTCAGTTCCCTTGCCTGCCTCACAAGTGCTGGGCCTGCACATGTACACCCTACACTTGGCTATATGGAGCGCTTCTGAAATCACAGAATAGGGTTTACTTGAAGATTCTCTAAAGATGAGTGGGGAAAAGGCTGAAAATTGATTACTACAGTATACACTTGGGCTCTTGTCACTTGGCTCAGGCAACGCAACATTCTAGAGGGTGTAATTTACTTTCTGCCTTGGACTTCTTGCCAGCTAAAAATCTTTTTACTTGTTCAGACCTTGATTATGTGTAAGATAAAAAGATAAGCGTCTGATAATAAATGACAATCAGTTACCCAGGAGTTCGAGAGTAAGTTCAGCAGGGTGAGGACAGCAGCTGTGCACACCAGTCTATTTTAAGGTTCCTGCAACAGGTATTTTCCTAGCTGTCGTGTTACATGACAAAGTAGTTCTTCTCGCTCTTCATTGGCTACACAGTAGATTACAGGATTGCTTGCCAGATTCCAGGAAACTAATACTTTAAGAGATTGGTGAGCCGAGGCGCTTCACGTAGAGGGGACTAGGTAAATATAATCCCTAAGAGATCAGTGAGCCATGGCGCTTCATGTAGAGGGGACCGGGTAAATATAATCCCTAACAGATTGGTGAGCCGTGGTGCTTCACGTAGAGAGACTAGGTAAATATAATCTCTAGGAGATTGGTGAGCCGTGGTGCTTCATGTAGATGCCTAGGTAAAATTATTCACCATTGTTTCACCACAGTAATTGAGATTCACATATAAAAATTTGGGTGATCTGTTCCCTGCAAAAGATGTATTTCCCGCAATTTCTCTGAATATACACATCTGCTTTGTTTGTTGTTCATCTTACTTTACTTTTATTCCCGTGATAGAGTCGTTTCATCATTTAATCTTTTCAGGCATGAATTCTTCTTGTATCATTCCTTATCTGGTTTCTATTACTTTCTGTGTATAACTATCTGTGAATCAAAAGGTATGGACAGTGATTCCATTTCATTCTTTTCCACACTGAAGCATACTGTGTATTTATGCTTTGTGCTTGTTGTTAGGTTTTTTATTTTCATTTGTTTTGCCTTGTAACCTGGAAATGGTTTGCTGTAGGTTTTCACGTTAGACCGTTTCAATTCCTTTCCCTAGCAAATTTGTGGAAATTCACTAGTTCGTTATTCTTTTCTAGAAGAAAATTGGAGATCAAGAGAGTTTTTAATGAAATTCAAAGAACACCGTGATAAGTACCCAAGATCATTTGTGTATGTGAACTATAAAGAACTGACTAAGAAGAAGAGTAGTCCGTATCCTGTCCATCCCAAAGACCTACCTCCTGAATGTGTCACCTGTGGAGGTATTTTAGAAAGTGTTTCAGAATTAATCAACAGTAATCTAAGCCCTGCAAGGAAGAGACAGAATGAGTATGATGGATATTTGAAATCTTGCCCAAATTCCATGCGAGACACGGGACATCCTGAATTCAAATTCCATACTCCAAGGGGCAAGGCTTGCGGTCACAGTGTTGAACTCAGACAACAAGAGAAAGCAGGCGCTCCAGCACAGCCATCTGGATGTGAGGACTGGGAACAGTCATCTCTTAGAAAGGGAAATCCGTCTGTATGTAACAAAAAGAAAAGAGCAACAGATCCTGAAAAGAAGCATATCTGCACAGAATGTGGGAAGTCCTTCTGCAGGAAGTCAGTGCTGGTTCTGCACCTGGCAGTTCACACAGAGGAAAAGCCGTATCAGTGCCCTCAGTGTGGAAACGCGTTCAGAAGGCGGTCATACCTCATTGACCACCAGAGGACTCACACCGGGGAGAAGCCCTTTGTTTGCAATGAGTGTGGGAAGCCCTTCCGCCTGAAGACAGCCCTGATGGATCACCAGAGGACTCACACAGGGGAGCGGTCATATGAATGTCCACAGTGTCAGAGTGCCTTCAGGTTGAAGTCCCACCTCATCCGCCATCAGAGGACTCACACGGGAGAAAAACCATACGAGTGCACCGCCTGTGGGAAGGCCTTCCGCCAGAAGACGACTCTCTCCCTCCACCAGAGGATTCACACAGGCGAGAAACCCTACGTGTGTAAAGACTGTGGGAAATCGTTCCACCAGAAAGCAAACCTCACCGTCCACCAGAGGACTCATACAGGGGAGAAGCCCTACATTTGTAAGGAGTGTGGGAAGTCGTTCTCCCAGAAAACAACGCTTGCTCTTCATGAGAAAACTCATAGCGAGGAGAAGCCCTATATGTGTAATGACTGTGGGAAGTCCTTCCGCCAGAAAACAACCCTTGTGGCCCATCAGAGGACGCATACTGGGGAGAAATCGTATATGTGTCCTCGCTGTGGGAAGGCCTTTAGAATGAAGTCGTACCTCGTTGACCATCACAGAACTCACACTGGAGAAAGACCGTACGAATGTGACAAGTGTGGGAAGTCCTTCAGTCAGAAGACCAATCTCAACCTACACCAGAGGATTCACACTGGGGAGAAACCCTACGTTTGCAGTGAGTGTGGGAAGCCCTTTCGGCAAAAAGCAACGCTCACCGCGCATCAGAAGATCCACACGGGGCAGAAGTCCTATGAGTGTCCGCAGTGTGGGAAAGCCTTCAGCAGGAAGGCTTACCTCATTCATCATCAACGAACTCACACGGGGGAGAAGCCCTACCAATGCGATGACTGTGCAAAGTGCTTTCGCCAGAAGACAAACCTCATTGTCCACCAGAGAACTCACACGGGGGAGAAGCCCTACGTGTGTACCGACTGCGGCAAGTCCTTCAGCTATAAGAGAAACCTCCTTGTCCACCAGAGGCTTCATCGGGAAAATACGGAAATGGAATAGGAGAGCCAATTGGCGACTGTGCAGTCTTCCCGTGACTGGAAGCCTGCCATTCCAGGAGGAGAAACAGGCTTCCACATGGCGTAAGTGACTAATGTTCCACCCTCAGCACTGTTTACTGCTTCCCAGTGTGTGCAGTAGATACAGGCATTGTCGAACTGGTCAGCTGTGAAGATGATCTGTAACCTTTGGACGGTTCGGCTGACTTTGAATACTTCATCAAAAAATATTTTTAGTTTTAGAGTTACCTGACCTACACACCAGCCTCCAGGCCAGCCAGCGCTCTATGGGGGAGACCATCTCAAAGCAACAACAACAACAACAAAATGTGTAATACATGTAGAAACACGTTAGAAAATGGTCATCAGTATTAATTCTCATACGAGAATAAGAATGAACCATCTCGCCGGGCAGTAGTGGCACACACCTTTAATCCCAGCATTTGGGAGGCAGAGGCAGGTGGATCTCTGTGAGTTCGAGGCCAACCTGGTCTACAAGAGCTAGAAAAACAAAACAAAACAAAAAATCTCATTGTATTTTATATTAACTAGATTGGTACATCACTGCATGTGTCATTAATAGTACATTAATTTTAATATTTTATTTAAAGTATATTTCTAGTTGTCTTATTTCTGGATATTTATATTTTTAATAACTGTCATAAAAGTACTGCTATATTCTGGTATATGTCTTCTGGTGTTTGTATATATGTATGCATTTCTTATTACTTAATATCTAACAGTGGAATTTTTCCATGCAATATGTAGGTCTTTTTAGTTATGGTATGTCCTACCATATATCTCAGACCTTCCACAAAATGATTTCATTTTTTTTTTTTTTCCGAGACAGGGTTTTTCTGCAGTTTTGGAGCCTGTCCTGGTATTAGGCGCTGGGCTCTTCCAGCCCTAAACATTCACGCTATTCCAGCTTAGAGTTTCTTCCCTCCAACTCCAACAAGCCCCCAGCCCTTTAACTTCTCTCTCCACTCCGAGAGGTAGACATGGCAGCTTTGAACACCCGCAAATGCCTCTGGCTATTCTCGCTACCACCTGCAAGATAGGCACTTGACAGTTTAAGGATTATTTAAAACAAAAAACAAAAAACTTTCTTTATACCCATGGAGTGGCCCATTTCAGTGGCTTCACCATGCCCTTACTTACAGATAAAACTTACTAAAAAGGAACACTGAAGGCTGGGTGTGGCTGCACAGCCTGTGATGCCAGCAATTGGGAAGCTGAGGCAGGACTGATGGCTACATAGTATCAAGCTTTTATTCAAGGAAATTGCTATAGTTTTAGGGGTGCTTATACTCCTCACTTATTCCTAATAAGTCCCAGAGAATTCATGCGAGAGGAAGGGTTAATACGCAGAGCATGAAAACAGTACCTAGACTGGAATTGTTTCCATACTAACCAGGTCATTTCAGGGCAGACCAGTAATCCAAGATATTTGGAACACTGAGGCCAGAGGTTCATAAATTCAGAGCCAGGCCAACCAACCTAACAAGACCAGGTCTTCATGTAAAAAGTACAGTGGAACTATGGCTATAGCTCAGTGCTAGAGCATTAGCCTACCACATGCAAGGCCCCAGTTTTAATCACTTATACCGGCTGAACATCTGTTAGGGGGAAAATGGATCCTGAAAACCCCAATCTCTGGGGGTTGCTGGTTTTCTTAACCGTGTGTATGGACTGTTTTGCTTGCATGCTTGTCTGTGCACCATGTGCAGTACTCTTGCAAGCCAGAAGAGGGCATCATTGCATGAGATTTGAGTTACAAACACTTGTGAGCTGCCACATGGGTGCTGGAGCTGAAACCCAGCTAGTGCTTTTCTGAGCTTCACTCCAGCCCATTTTCCAGTTTAAAAATTACTGGGGTCTGTGTGTTGCATGTTTATGGAACTCAAGAGAAAACCGTGCTAGTCACATCTGTCCTCCCACTATACACCAGTTCTAAATCTCAGACTGTCAGGCTTGGCAGCAAACGTCTTTACCCATTGAGCCATCTCTAGATTCGTAAACATATATGTACATGTGCACTCAACATATGAAAGTGTGCACACATGCATGCTCGCGAACACACACACTACACACACGAGAAAGGAGAAAGACTCAATTTCTTGATGGCATTGATGCTATGAAGGCATCATTTACCTTCCAAATGGAAAGATTTGCAATATTGTCTACATGCTTATGATTTCAAAAGCACAATTTTGTGATTTCTTATTTCTAGTGAATTTAACTGTTTATTTAAGTGAATTAAACATGGGTCTCCAGGGTAAAGCCAGTTTATGAATGTAAAGTTACAAATCGTACAGCTTTCCAAATCAAACTGCAATTATGGCAAGCTATACCAAGGCAAACACTTTATGCATTTCAACACACTGTAAGCATGGTCCCAGGAACTGGAAATGCGTAGCCTTAAGCTTTTAAATTCGATGTAAGAATGAGAACATTTCAAGATTTCTGGGAAATAATACTTTGGTATATTTGGAGCATCATTAGGGCTTGGCATTTATGTTACATACCAGTTTTTGTTGCAGTTGTTGGTTTTTTTTTTGGGGGGGGGTGGTTTGAGACAGCATTTCTCTGTGGCTTTGGAGCCTGTCCTGGAACTAGCTCTTGTAGACCAGGCTGGTCTCAAACTCACAGAGATCCGCCTGCCTCTGCCTCCTGAGGGCTGGGATTAAAGGTGTGTGCCACCACTGCCTGGCTACGCGCCAGTTTTCAAATGCAACAAATTTTTTGAATTGACATTCAAATTGAATTGGCATTTTTTAAAAAAATCTGACATTCACCTTAAAGAAAACATTTCTCTTTTTTACCTGTATGGAAGAAAATGCACGTGTATGTACGCACATGTTAGAGGTCTGGTATTCCTGGGGTGCTGCTCACTTAGTTCTGTCTGTTCTCTCACTGCAGCCTGGCCTCACCAACTAGGCTGGGTTGGCACTGGTGAGCCCAAGGTCCTGCCATCTGGGCCTCCCAGAGTTAGAATCGTAAGCATGTGCCACCGTGACCAGCTTCTTCTCGGGGTTCTCAGTGTTGAACTTTGGTCCTCATACATGCACAGCAAGCTAACTCAAGAGCTCCTCAGCGAGGGCTGGAGAGGTGGCTCAGAGATGGCCCATTGCCTGCTCTTCCAAAGGTCCTGAGTTCAATTCCCAGCAACCACATGGTGGCTCACAACCATCTGTAATGGGGTCTGGTGCCCTCTTCTGGCCTGCAGGCATACACACAGACAGAATATTGTATGCATAATAATTAAATAAATATTTTTAAAAAAAGAGCTCCTCAGCGAAAACTGGACACTGATGCATTAGGTTCCCAAATGTGATGCAGTGTTGCACTAAACTTATGTTCTTTTGCAAAACTATTATATATAAATATAATATATAATATATATTGCCTGAAAGGCCCAAAGAAGGCATTGGATTCCCCCAGAACTCTAATTACAGGAGGTTGTGAGTTGCCTGATGTGGTGCTAGGAATGGAACTCTAGTCTTCTGGAAGAGCAAGCACTCTTAACCACACCGCTAGTTCATTTTCTCTGCCAACATCTGCAAACTAGCATTGAACTGATCAACATAAGATTCTGTGTTACTACAGACCCAGTGAAAGGCCATTGGGAGGTCACAGACCCTGATGGGACAGTTAGTTTTGTTAAATGAACATGGTGCGTCTGCCAGATTGCCTTCTATGTAACTGTATTTATGCCCATAGATCACTGTTACCATCAGCTTTGGTCAGAGAAGCTTCTTTTTACAATAGGTAGTGGTGCTTTCAGAGACTTAATAACTGCTCAAAAGCCAGGCGGCAGTGGCTTACACCATAAAGCCCAGCATTTGAGAAGCAGAGGCAGGCGGAACTCTGAGAGCTCGAGGCCAGCCTGATTACAGAGCATGCTCCAGGTCAGCCAAGGCTACAAAGAAAAGCAAAGAAATAAATGCTAAGAAAAAGAAAAAACTTAAGACCAACTGTTAGAATGCCTATGGCCGAAAACACACACACAATGCTCAGGGAACTTCGTGGAACTAGGCCAGAGAGAGTGTAGGAGCCATATACCTGCCCAATTCTACATTTGGCTCATACAGTTGAAAAGATCCATCAGACGGTCACATGGCTCAGTGATTTAGTGCAAAGCTTACTCCCTGCTCCAGGGAATCCAAGGCCCTCTTCCGGCCGGCCTCCCAGGGCACTGCATTCACAAGTGCAAACACAGAGACAGAAATTATGTAATTGAAAAGTGCAAACTGCTAAGGAAGCAATGAATGCCACATCACACAAATGACGTGTGCATGCCGTCTCCATTCTCCTTTTCTCTAAATAGTTCTTACACCGTATGGGTAGGGAAACCTGCGGAAGCCTCAGGAGGGCATGGATTCTCTGGAACTAGAAGCGGAATCCATCTTCGGGAATAGCTGTAAGTGCTCTTAACTGCTGAACCAGCTCACCAGCACCTCTCCCCTTTGTAAAATATAGACTTACTCTGCAGCCCATGATGGCCTAGATTTTATCACACAGCCCAGAGTGGTCTCTGAGTCTCAGTAATCCTGCCTTTGCCTCCTGAGTACTGTGATCACAGGTGACCACACACTTGGCTCCACTGAACTCACAACAGAGTAACACAAAAGTCATAGCATCACAGAATCTCAAAATCCACCTGCTCCACATAAACTCCAGAGGTGGCCAGAGCACCAATGAGATGGTTTAGCATAGGAAAGTTCTGGGTGCCAAATTAGTTCCCAGAGACCTGTATGGTGGAAGGTAAGATCCAGTTCCACAAAGTTATCCTTTGACCTCTACCTATGCTGTGACATGCCACGTGGCCATACATATACACATAAAAAATAAATGTGCTTTTAAACACCTTTTTAAATTTCCAAGGAAGGCTGGAGAGAATGGAGCATGTGCTCATGCTCTTGCAGAGGGCCGTTCCCAGAATCCACACGGAGGGCTTACCCAAAACCCCAGCTCCCGATTAATTCCACGGGCATGTGCACATATGCGCATATCTCTACATAAACACATATATACATACATGTATAATTAAAAACATTTTTCAAAAATCTAGTACTAAGAGAAATGGCCAAGCAAGCTCTCAGTAGCACATCTGCATAACCACACACCATGTCACCACAGTGCACACACATCCTCCACACCCCACCCAAGCCGTTTGCTCCCTGCCTAGCTCATTCATGGCCAGATCATATATGTCTTGCCAAACACCCCAATCCAAGCTTCACACCGAATCACCTTTAGGCTTCTAGGAAAGTATTCCTCTCATCTTTTACATTTTTATTTTTGAGAATCACGTGTATCTGTGTGGGGGTATGTTCAACTGGCTATAGAGGACCAGAGAGGACACTGGATCCCCACGGAGTTATCAACAGTTGTGACCAGCCCAGTTTGGGTCCTCTTCCAGAGGTCTGCACTAGAGTCAGACCCTTCCTGTCTTCAGTTCACTGTAACAGCAGCAATCATTTACTGTACGCTATGTAGCTAAGCACTGCTTAGAATTTACATGCACATTTAACCAAGCCTTTGAAACGAGGAGCTGGAGATAAACTACGGCACAAATGCTGTCTTGTCATATGTGACACTCCACACTCACAGTCTTCTCTGTAGACCAGGCTGGCCTTGAACACACCTTATTCTACAAAGATTGATCACACATTTTGTCCTCTTGGTTTCTAAGCCAGCACTGGAAACTACAAACCCCTGACCACACTGATATTGGAGACAGCCGCTTCTTCCTCTGGACGAACCTGACAGCTGGCTACTACCAACACGGCAGTGCAGACCACCGTTCTCTAACTGTGCTCACCCCAGGCTTCTTCTTGGCCTCTACTTTTAACATGACTTCATATCAGAAGCCGTAAATTCTTACCAGGGAAATCTGATACCAAGTCTGATGGATTCCGGGGACACACATGGCGAACAGAACTGATCCATGCAAGCTGTCCTCTGGCCATACGGTCAGACCCACCCCAAAATCTCATATGTGCTGGTCAGGAATTCTGCCACTGATCTATACTCACAGACCTAGGACACACATTTGATTTTGCAAAGCTTTCTTTTGCTCTAGTCATGTTAAGTCAAAATTTTTTTTTGCTCTCCACAAAGTAGACGTGAAAAGTTCGTTCTCTCTCTCTCTCCCTCCCTCCCTCTCTCTCTCTCTCTCTCTCTCTCTCTCTCACACACACACACACACACACACACACACAAGACTTAGAAATGGTTAGACTGGTGGTTCTGAACTGTCTCTTCAGAACCCCTTAGGATCTTGTTAGCAATGCAAATAGCCAGAACCCATCCAAAACCTAATGAATCACAAGTCAGAGGACAATAAGACCAGCAGTGACTACTGTGCACTGAAGTTGAGCATCTGTAGAGGAAAACTCCAGGAAAGGAGAACTCAGTGACCTTCTGGTTATGTGGTCACTGCATTACTACAGTTATGGCTGACTGCATGACAGAATCACACAGCTAAGCAAAGCAGGACAATTAAAGGGGGACAGAGTCATCATATTTGGAAGGATAAGGATTTGTTTATGTATCTAGACATATAAACCAGTTATTCCACCATAATAAGAAAAGATACATAGTAATGTAGCCACAAGAATAAATATTTTAAAAGTTCTGAGATTAACATATGTAGATTTATATTTACATTTGATATATGGGGAGGGGACAGCAAGACAGGTCAGCATATAAAGGGGCTTGCCATCAAATTTAAGGACCTGAATTTAAGCTCCTGGAATCCACATGGTGGAGGCAGTGAACCGAATTCTCCAAGATTCTCCTAACCTGGTATGTATCCCACCCATCCACCCACGTACCACACAAAACATAAAAGAGCCCCAAGGCGGCTGGGAACTGTCAATAAAGTCCTTGCCTCGCAAACATAGGACCTAAACCCCATTTCCTTGAAAACATGCTAAAAAAAAAAAAAAAAAAAAAGAAAAAACTGGTTATAGTCCCAGTCTTGGTGAAGAGGCAGAGATAGGCAGATCCCTGGGGCTTGCTGTCAGTCAGCTTAGGTCTACGGCAGCAATACATCAATATGTGGCCACAGCACAAGCAACACCACCACATGAGGCTGTGCTCTGGTTTCCATAAACATAAACATCCACATCCCCAATGCAATGCGTGTGGACCCACCCCCATTCATATATATGCTGTACCAAATTATATTATGATGACAAATATGGAATTTTAAAAATATGGAATTTTAAAATCTTCAGGAAGGCCCAAAAGGCCTGAGCCACTCACCCAGCACCCCTTGGGAAAAGAAACAGTGTCAATCAAAACAGGGGAATGATATATTGAATGTCAAAATGATGCCCATACACTAAACTTAAAGTTCTTTCAAGTCGCTACACTCAAATGATCTTGCAAAACTAGAAATGTAATGAGACCATACTCAACATAGTAAATAAAGTTGAAAGATTTAAGAATATGCTGTCATTTTAAATTTTAATAAAATAGATAATTTCATTACATAGAGTGTCAAGTCCATCCACTCATTGTTAAAGTTTTAGAAATATCTTCTATAAAAGCTTGGTATTTGCTTGGGAATTAACTGACTATAACTTTTCTACAGGT